CGATTCTAACTATTTTTCAACGTTGATTTAACATCATGTGCTATCTGGGACAGCACAATGTGACGACTTGAAAGAACGGTCCGCCATATTTTAGCTGAGCATCCACATGCACCAAGCTTAGTGATTCTGGTGGGATGGTATCTGTGCCACCCCATTGGAGGGGCTGGTAAGTAATAAATAATTCTGTGTTTTCCTCCATCTCTTTTAGCTGCTTCCATGCTCATGTATGCACACACACACGCACACACACATATATACAAACGTAAGGCTAACGGAAATGACACATTAGGGATCGCCCTCTTTAAGGTGTAGCTAAGATAAAAACCTACAGAAGGAATCAGAAACAATTTTTGCTGTGTTGTCCGATAAAGAAACATGGCGATGAACCAGTGCTGCATTTTGCCCTTAATAAATGGGATCGATGATTTCAACTCACTGACTCTTCTAGAACCTCACACATTACCAACCAACCTGGACAGAGGATAATCTTTAACTCTTCATCCACTGTTGGAAGACCAAATTTTATTGTATTAAAATGTAAATATGTAATAAATTTTGAAAAATCTTTCTAAAAACATGAATGAAGTTGCTATTGAAAAAAGATGTATTGTCTTAAAATCTCACTCACAAAAGGTGCAGGGATTGATATTTATTTTTAATTTATTTTGAAGAGAGTCATTAAAGGGAAAACTTCATACATAATTATGAAATTAATATTTTAAATTCTTTTGTGGGGGGTGGATTAGAAAGCTGTTTGGTTCTCATTTTCTTCTGAGATATCATGATGACAAATGTTTTCTTCTCAAGGTAGAGGGGAAGAAAACTGATGTCAGAGTTGTTGTAGTTCACCCATTTCCCCCTCTGTGCTCCACCCAGGTCCAGAAATAATGAGCTTTGTTTAAGTATGAAACAGGTCAAATGAAACTGATCAAATGTTACAGGTCATCGAAATCCTAGCAGATTCAGAGTGACGTTCTCTGTCCAGCGCTGGGCTCCACTCAGCTCAGCTTAGAGGAGACACCAAGTGAAGCAAAGATTGTAGAGTTCAGCTTTATTTTCTCCTCTTTCTGCTCCCTCTCCAAGGTGTTGACCTGCTTTAATCAGGTTTTGTTTTTGTTTGACTATCACCAGTATAAAATGTTATGGCTGTGTCAGCATGCAGCCGTGTGCATGTGAGCAGATAAAACAGAGAGAAAAGACAAAGAGTTCTTTTGTCCATGACAGAGTGTTCCTTATGAATTTTTTGTCACAAGATTCATAGTTTCATATAAGAAGGATATTTTAGTTCCATTAGTCATTTTGTTTTTTACAATGTAGCTTCAGGTCTTTTTCCATTTTTTTTTTTTTTTTTTTTTATTAGCAAAAAATTATTTTATATATATAAGAATTCCCTCCTCACTCTTCCGCGGGGGCTGGCTCTCTCTCTCTCTCTCTCTCTCTCTCTCTCCCCCACCCCCCCCCCCCCCCCCCCCCCCCCCCCAGAAGCCTGCAGCTTGAGGGTTCTGCGCAGTATCTTGGCTGTGCCTAGAACTGCACATTTCTGGACTGAGATGTCTGATGTTGTTCCTGGGATCTGTTTGAGCCACTGCTCCAGTTTGGGGGTGACTGCCCCGAGGGCCCCGATGACCACAGGCACCACTGTGGTCTTCACCTTCCAGGCCTTCTCCAGTTCCTCTCTGAGGCCCTGGTATTTCTCCAGTTTCTCGTGCTCCTTTTTCCTGATGTTGTGGTCACTTGGTATTGCTACATCCACCACAATGGCTTTCCTCTGTTCTTTATCGGTTGGTTTGCCATTACCATCTTGTCTGTCTGGATCTGGAAGCAATGGACCAGAAGTCTTTCCAGGATTCTTCTGCAATGGCCCTGTGGCAGTCAAGCGAT